AGGGAGCAAATAGAAACAAACTTTACAACCGACATCTTTATTATTATTCCCACAGGTTCAAGCCACTCTAGGATTAACCCGCGGATAACAAGTAACTCAGGTGGTGGTACATCACCACCCAACGGCTATGTCAGTAGCAATGTTTATAACTTCCCAAATATCCTAAAAATGACATCAAATCCCACCCCTGGTGCTACCCTTAATTTGTCTGTTGTCTCCGGTCCAGCACCAGTTGTACAACGACCGGACCTGGCTACACCAAGCAACAGACAAGGCAGCGGTAAAGAAGGACAGAGTTCAACAGTGGTAGAAAGTTTAAGGTGAGCAAATTCTCTAATAACGCTGATTGTGAGTGAAACTAAACAATTAATCTAATTTTCATTTATACCAACCAACTCACCCTGGTTTTTTCCCTTGTGCCCTCCAGACTTTCTTTCCTCTGTGTGCCTATCTCAACCTATCTTTAGTTATAGACAAACTAATTATAATTAATTGTGGTTTCAGGTTTGTTGTTACATATCAGTTCATAATACCTTAGTTATAACAAAATACTTTTAACTCAAATCTCTTCAAAGCTCTCTAGGATAATAATTTTAGGTTTAAATTGATGTTTTATATAAGAGTCATTAGATGGTGTGAATATGTACTAAAACATATGAGAATTCAGCAAATCTTTGTGAATCCATGATTTGAAAGTTTTAGCAACATGGGACATGCTGATAATTTTTGAAATTTTATTGTTTAGTATTTAACTTATTTCATGCAGTTGGTGCATACTGTAAAATACTTTATTTTTGCTGGAATTAATTTTCACTGGATGTTTTGTATAGAATTTATTTTCACTGATGTTTTACAAGTTGAATGTAAAATATAGGGAAAAAAGGTATATTCACTGGATTTTATTTTCACTGAATCATTCCTTTAGCGAAAATAGTGAAGATTAATTCCAAGCGAAAAAAAAGTATTTTACAGTAATCATACCATGAATAGACTATTTTCCTCCACTGCAAGATCTTGTGTTATATATGAAATCAATGTAAAAACAGGACAAACAAAGGTCAGAATTGGACAAACACAAAATTATTTTGGAAGTATTTCCACACTTAATGTGCTATACACATTTTATGATGGTCAATTTTGATGAAATAAAGGTATCTAAATACAATATTCCTCTTCAAAAAATCTGCATTTTGAGATTGAACTGTAAATAAGAAATTCAAGTTTGAAATCAAATTTTGCAGCAGACAATCGCGCCTTTCTCGCAATACACAAGATCTCACAGTGAACCGAAAATCACCTATTCACATGATACTTTCAAAACACCAATGAACCTAATCATCTCATAATAGTAAAAAAATAACTAATCTTATGTGATAAAGCATATAATGCAAAGCCGTGCGTTGACATGTATTTCTTCTTTCATTTCAGTTTATTTGACAGGCATCTTGTTTTTCTAACATATAGATGTAGGTCATTGTAGCTTGATTCATTTTATTATAGGAATGTGACGACAATAGGGCATTGTGTTTTGAAAATCAATAGATAGTGTGTTATGTGTAGGAATGTTGTCAAGATGGAAGACAAAATGTTTATTAAAGTATTACTGATATACTACGTTTTTCTGCACTTGTTAGATATGCTCTGTGCACATATTCATTTATTCATTTGCTGTAAAAAAAAAATGTCAACCTGTCTTGCACTAATTGTGAAACACCTGGGTTTCTCGCCCAGATTATGGTTCAATGGAAATTTGCTAGCTGTAGAAGGCACTACTTTTTTTCTCAGGGCCACTTCATATTCAACAAAATTATACAATAGAAATGACATTTGAAAACTATCCTCACAAAAGAAAATACATGTACATGTATATGAATCCATTTTTTTTTCTGATATATGTTCCAAATGTTAATAAAATGTTAATTTTCCATAAAAAACAAAACTGCAAAAAGCAAATGAGAAAGGGAGTGCCCAAATAACTTGTATTGTTTTCTCTGTAAGCATCAAGCCTGACTCTGGCAGCCATTTTGAGTTGAAATATACTCAACTGTAGAAAGATTCAAATTGCATAAAAACTATTTTGGATAACAAGATTGTTTTCTATAGACTTGACAGAAGGTAACTTAACCTAATTTCAGGAAGTTTCTGTGTCAAAAAGTATTTTCGCCTTGTCCACCCCTAACATGATTGTGTGCATATGTTGTAATAACTTGTACATCAATTTGTCTGTTTCCCTATTAACTTTACAGATTTATTGTTTCACCACCATCATCAGACAGGATTGGTTATGGGATAATTAGAGGTATCCATCTCCTAGATCCCCATTTTCTGTAGATTATACTGCATGCCATGCATGACGCCATCCACACTCTCTGTTGAGTTTATACCCACTAATGTCTATACATGTTAGTCCTGTATATGTAGTTTTAAGTGTGTGTGTGTGTATATAAGCATGTTTCCATCAGTGAGTGTAAAACAGCATGTACATGTACAGTAACTACAGACACTTTAATACAATCAACCATTTCATGTTCACTCCCAGAAATAATTTGAGGGCTGAGGTATAACTAGGTACTTCTTGCAATGATTGGAGCATAAAGAACTCTTAAGGAGTTAAAGTCAGTATTTAGTGCACATCAAAACCCGCGTACCGACTTGCCACTGGGGAGAGCGCATTGGGTTGTGAGAAGATTATTGTTTATCAACACACATCTCATAAATTTGTGAAGCAACTCGCCGCCCTTTAAAGAAAAAATTTCCTGCCTCCTGAGATTTATGTGAATTTGTCTTGCAAAGTTATTAAAATTTAGTTATCAAAATTTATTAAACAGTATCATCAGTTCAGACAAAGCTGTATAACGATTTAAAAGCACTCTACCTTTTTCAAATTACCATATTGTACTTAATTTGACTCCAAAATGACCAATAATGTTTTTGAATATGTTGATAAAAATGCTGGAAAATGTTACCATGTCAAAAAATGCTTACACATCACATCTTTCCTTGCCTAATTCCTGCACAACTGGTGGTGGAAACGTTTTTGATACTTTTAATAGTAAGTTGAATTTAGATCTCATGGAGATAAACATTACTTGCAGTTTGATCAAAAGTTGTACATTAAGATTACTATTTTTGGTATATACATGTATATGTTTAGAATTACGTATGTTATATATTTCATAGTTTGAAATTGTCCAGTATGGTTAGACATACCAGTACCAGTAATTTAGAAATATAATTGCATCCACTGTTGACAACTCACAAAATCAAACCTAGGGTGTATGAATACTTAAACATGGTGACATGCAGTAGATTCCCTAACTTTTTGCAAATGAGTTTTAATGTACTGTAGAATACTTTATTTTCGCTTGGAATGTATTTTCGCTATTTTCGCTGAAGGGGTGATGCCGTGAAAATAAAATCCAGCGAATATACTTTTGTTCCTATATTTCACATTAAACTCATCAAAAATAAGTGAAAATAAATTCCACACAAAACGCCCGAAAAGCCTTTTCAGCAAAAATTAATTCCAGCGAAAATAAAGTATTTCACAGTAAATGAGCAAAAGTAATCAGCAACACTTGGACATGCTTATAAATGTCTGTATTTATATCTTTGAAATGTCAAAGTCAACTTAAACAAAGCAGTAATCTGTATAAGGTTTGGTTTTCCTTATTTTTTTTCAGAAATTTTGATAAAGACCTATGGCCAATGGGAGATTGTATCCATTTGGTCCAAAATTTATCACACAAAAATACATGAAAAAAGTGCGAAATGCGATAATTCTGGCATTCAAAGAGTTCAATGTTTATAAGTGATTAAAATACGTAACAACCACTGATGCCGCCAAATAACAATAAACCGATTAACGTCTTCACAGAGTGATTGACATTTAGGATGGTAGGAAACCTATTTTAAATTGCTGATGAAAAAATTACAGTGATGACAATTAAAGTTAAGATGACTGCAATACATTACCTGGTACATGTTCTTGTGATCCCACTGATGTAGTCACTGTGTTTGCATGTGTACATTATAATCAGTTACACTCAGTACCATCATTTAAATAAATTTTGTTCCCTATAGAGCTGTATGCTGCCCATACAATTATGGACTAAATTGTGTATGGAGTCCAATATAGACCACACAAATAATAATACAATTAAACCTTCATTTAAATTGCATCCATTTTCTTCAAATCAGGGTCAACCAGTTGAAAATACTGAATGCAAGTTAATAAAAAAAAACAATATTGGACCATAGAACCTCCAGTACTGGAGGGTCTATGATTGGACGTATGTGACAGATCTTTAAAATCTACTTAATCAACCCAATTATCAAGTTTGAGAATGGGACGAAGCTGTTTCACCCAAAGATCTTTAATAATTTTAATCATTCACTTTACCAGATGGAAGACACGAATGGATAGATTCTGTATTCATTGTAATTTTACCACATTGAGAAGGAAGTGTAAAAGGGAATGAGAAATATCAAATTACTGATGTTAGCTTAATATATCACAATTAACTCTTACACATACCTGGTGTGCAATAAATAAATTTCTGCTCGGTGGTTTCTTCATCTGCTCTCATCTGCTTGGCTTCAAAGAATAACCTAAACTATCCTGTTTCAGGTCCACTAAGTCTCAAAGAATAAGAGGAGCGTCTAATAATCTTAGATTAAAAGTAAGTAGCAATCGTTGGCTTTCCATTCTCTCCTCATCGAATCTTGTGCATTTCCTAAGGTTTAAGCAAACTCTGTTTTTTCAACTGCAATTTTTTTCTCACTTTATATCTTGCCTTGAATCTTTTTGGCTCATTTGCTACCAGCATTTTGGATAAGGGAATGACTAAGTTTGTATTTGCATCGCAGCTGTGTATGTGTGTAATAGGCAGCTTGTCTAATATAAACTACAATGCGCTTGCAAGTTAGTGAAACTGCGCTTTTTCTTCCTCCATTGCATTTCGACATTGGTAACAGAAATGTAAACATCTGAGAATTGGGTGTGCGACTTGTTGCGAATGTAGTAAAAAATGATTAGCAGGCCATTTAGTACAGGATGCATCGTTCGGGGTGTTTGTTATCCTAAGGACCTGCATAGGTTGAAATAATCCTACTGAATTTAAAGTTAACTGGTATCTATCAATCTATATAGGAAAGAAAGTCTGTCACACTAACACCCAAACTAATACATTACATGTTTTTATTTTTCCTTATTTGTGTAGATTGTAATAACCTAATAACTTAACATGGATGAAACTAACCCTGTTTGTTTATTTTGTTTTGGTGTGTGGTAGTTGATATTGAAGTTACAAAAGAGAGTATTTTGATCGCTCTCTCTCGTAACTTTAACATCCACCTCTCACTCTTTACCTTACAGCAATTGGAGCTTCGGGAAAACCATGCAGTTGTACTCAGTTGATGAACTCTTACGCATGCAGAAAGCCAGGAAGCAAGCACGCACCCTTGCACGGTCATGATCACCTGTTTTGATGTCTTTCGTACTCTTCTCAACGCTGAAGCCTCTCACGGCTCTGATCTCTCATGCGACTCTTGTCGCGAAGAAAACTCACTGAGACGTAGTTATTTTCTTAAAAATTTATAAAATTTACAGTTTGATATGAAAAAAAATAACATGACATTTCCCTTTTGTTTATTAAAACTGTGTGTGTATACATTTATAATAATTTACTTGCTTTCATTCAGATTTAGTGAGTTTGCCATCCCCTAATTGTCTTTCTACTTGATTGATGTACATAGAATTTTTTTTTAACTGGGTGTATATATACATTATATATATATATATTGACCAAATTTGTAAATGATTTACAATTTGTACATTTTTCTGAGTGAACCAAGGGCTGTTATTTGTATATTTTTATGATCTTTACATATCTTGTGCTTGTACACCCTCCCCTCATCTACAAGTATGTACATATGTACATGGTTGAACTTTACGTGAAACTGTAGTAGTCTTCTTGGGAAGGAAGAGATTTCTGGGTTGAAAGCAGTCAATTCAATATTCTTAAAATTTTTATTAATACAAATGTGTGTGACTCAGTACTGTAAATCGTTGATTTTCGCTAGTCAAAAATAATGCATTTGTCAATTTGAAGACACAAGGAGAGAAAAGCTACTGTGACTTTCACTCCCGTTTCATGTACTCTTTTGTTGCAGATTGGTTTGTCCCGTACCTTGATACAATACAAGAGATAAATTGACTTATCCGAATACTTCTGCATCTGTTTGATTAACGAGGGGAAGGATATGTAGAAGGTACTTGCCATTGTCTTTTTTTGTGGTTCACTGTGCAGTCCATCCTTTTCACTGTTTGTTTATTTAATTTCTAGTGTAAGATAATTGATAAAAAAAAAAAAATCATGACATTTCTTCATGATTCCATTTGAAAAGACATTTTACTCTACTGTGTGTTTTCGTATCGGGTGACAACTTTTACAACGTGAATGACCAGAACCCAGTGCATTCATTTACGGGTGCATTTCATTACTGATGTTATTATTATTTAATTGTTTTATTATTGCTGCATTTTTAAATATCCGTCCAGATACAATAGTATTTTAAAAAGTCAGTATGCTCTTTTATGTACTACGAACCATTACGATTTACTAGGAATTTTTGAGTGTTTATCTCCGTCCTGCTTTTATATGCGTTTGTTTCATATATCTCACCTGCGCTGATAGTTTCACCTGAATATCTTACCATATAGATGTACGCATATCATATTTTCATATTCGATCACACCTTCATAGAAGCGCATACATTAACTCAAGTGTAAGGTGATATTTTTTGTGCATTTGCACTTTTAGTACCTATCGAACCAATGCGCTTTGATTTAGTGTACTTACGCAGGATATATTTTGTTTTATAATAACGACTACTTACAAGTGTAGGTAGCATTGCTGCACATAATTCGAACAAATATTACAATTGTGATCGTTTTGCTGCTATGAACTTTTTTCAAAAACAGCTTCCTAAAAAAAAAATTATTTCATTTTTATTTCACTTTGTTAATAATTACTGTAAAATCTGTATTAAAAACTGCAGCTTCTATTAAAATAGTACAATGTAACAGAATGGATGCGGTTTCTATTAGAGCATCTACACATATGAGAAATGATGAATTTTTGGTTCTCAATTGTTCTCAAAGAATGTGTGCGACTTCTATTAGGGATGTGGCTTCTAATACAGATTTTACGATACTTTGGCAGGAAAAAAAATTTATTTGCTTCATAAATATGTGATAACAAGTTAGGATTCAATAATCAGCCTTAATGACAGTTTGATTGTTTGCTTCCAAACCATACAAAACATGGTAATAACATCATTGTTGACTGTCCAAGCTGCTGTGTTAGAAGTTTTGGTTCTCAAGCACTTATATGAATGTTCTATTATTTAGCTTACTTTGAATGTGGTGAAGAAATTCTTTTGTTAAATCATAATTCTACAACTCTGATTCTGTTTATTTCTTACTTTCGTTTTAATATCAGCTAGACTTCCAATGTTATCGTCTTGAAAGTATGGTGGTGGTTCTTGTTTTTGTGTTTGGATTTTATTTAATCAAACGACATGTATTACAATACATTTCATATGTTCGCATGGAGCGATGACCACTGCTTTTTAAATGCTTTATGCGAGTAAGTTGGCATTCATTTCTAGCAGGTGATATTAGCTGTGATTTTTTTTTTTTTTTTCTCCAAAGCAATTTTTAAATAATTTTTCCAAATGTGTACGCATACAAAAATATGTTGATTTTCTTTGTATATGTCAATAGCCATGACAGTTTCAGACATAAACAACGAATAGCTTTTAATGTAATTCTCAAAATGTAGATGACCAGCAATCTTAGGTCTACAATCTACATTGAGCCCTGCAGTTGTATGAACTCTCAGTTTTCATTATTATTTGGTGTATTTACATATTTTCATGTTGCTGTTCAAAACTAGAGTATTCCAGTATTTACACGTCCAGATCAAAGCGACCACAAACATCTTTAGTTCAGTAAATTCAAATATGAAAAAGGTTCACGTACAGCATGTTTTTAATTATTTTGAATTTATAATGACCTTGAAGTATTTTTATTACAGATAATTACATCCTATTCTCACCTGCAGTTTGTCTGATAAATCACTGTTCAATCTAGCAATGAAAGCATATCCCATCATACTTTGCTGTTTTCTGAAATAAATGCTAATTGTATATTGACAAATGTGTTTTGTTTTTCATAATTTGGGTGAGGCTGCTCAGCTAATATACTGCAAAAGTTAAGAGACTGCCCTCTATGGCTAAACTGAAAAATGCTCCTGTTTAATGATATTATAAACGCTTGTACCATGTTCCAACATTTCATTAACATTTTGTTAAATCCTGAAAGGTAGTAGCATGCATGATTCAATATTTGTCATCGTCAGTTGCCGTTTCCCAGTTATTTACAAACACTACTCGTTCTAATGGCTGAGGAATGCAGTTTATACAACGTTAATCTATGGTTGCTCGTCATTATATTTGCTATATTCTAAATAACAATGACTACTCAAGGATTCATTTGAAGATGCTCTTTACACAATTGTACGCCCTGTTTACGTCACATGAGCGCCGCTAGAGGGCGCGACATATTATTATGTACACCTGAAGCATGTTAGGGTACTGAGAATGAAACTCGATTTTTTTTTACATGTGCGCATATTTTAGTGCATATGGTAGTAGCAATATTTTGACTACAATTACTCGTTTTAGTATTAGTCAACAATATGTGAACTTGTTTTGTTCACTGTCAATCTGTTTTTAGTGAAAAAACAGTAAAATAAAGCCATCTTAGCAGCGGTTTCCATAGTCTATGACCACAATGAAACATATCAATAAAAACCTACTAAAAATGTTGTCAATTTTTTAATATTTCTAGACACCAAAAGGTATCCTGTAAGACACTATATATCATTTTTCACCATATGTCACTGTGCAAAATATTGATTCGTTTCATTGGGAAGGCTGTGGTAAAATGCCCTAAACCCGACAAAACATGCTATTTTCACCATTATAAGTTTATCCGAACCGAGTACGGTGACCCCATATTTTTGTTCTGTTTTCTTCATCTTCGTGACAAGAAATATCAAACATATAAAAATAAAGAAAATGACAATACTTTTACTTCTGTGTAGCATTCTACCTTAAAGGAATGAGATAAACTGTTACTGCATCTTGAAATCTGATGTAGCTGAGTGTGTCACCCAGGTAACCTTGCAGAGAACATGTTCTGAAACGTTTGATATGAAAACTAGATCAATAGAACTGAATACCAGATCATAAACTGTTTTGACTGTAGTTGTAGTTGTCACAGTATTCAAGCACATCGTTTTGATTAGAACTTGCCCTGAAGAAGACAGCATAATGCTGCAAACCCTAGACTTGTATACAGTGTTTTATTTATTTTTTGGTGTTTTTTTTATTTTTTTTTCAATGAAATAAAATATCATGGGAGTGTGTAAATGTCAAAGGTGGGGTTACAGCGAAAGTATTTAAAATCTGGTTTATTTTGTAAAGGTAACACGGCTTTCGCTATGCAAGTTTGCATGCTGTATGCAATTCTATTTTGTCTTATTTTGCTGGAACGTAAACGGAAAGTCTGTAATAACGCTCCCGAAATTGAACAGCGGGTAAAGGATTAGTCCTTGGGGCCTTGTTGAATAAGAGGCATGCTGAATCTCAAAACTTCACGTGATCAAGACTTTTGAAGCGGTAGACTTGAAACCTCCATCTTCTCTTCCATGGGCATTATCATTTACCGTCTCTCATCTATTTGTACAGTAACACATACGTACGATACTCAATACAAATATGGA